TTTAAAGTATAAACAAACTATTAGGCAACAGTAAAATCAATTGATTAGGTTTTAGATTTTTTTTAAATAGAGAAACACCAGCTCTTCAATCAAAACCAATTTAATGTACTTTCAGTTTAGTGCAGGTACAATTTATACACTGCATGCCACAACAAAACCACAGTATGATGCCAACACAGTCTTTAAGAAAGTTTTCCCCTAAATCTCTGCAGAAAGCAGCCTTAAAAGAAAGCACAGATTAGAGTGAGCTAGAAAGTAGGAAGGGGACTTACCTCAAACCTAGCCAAGCGGAAATCAGAGCAGTAATTCTACAAATCGGCAGAGTACACTTTTAGAGCTATAATGGTGTGAAGAAGTGCTGGGCAGCATTGCCTGAAGGCAGCACTAATACACTGATGACTAATGACTAGGCCACGCAGACAATGAATTTGGGGGTTGAAAACCAACAGAAACTGTGCAGTACCTTGACAAATTGGTTTTCACAATTTCATTCACTGAATAACCTTTAAACACAAAATTGGCTCAAGTTCTCTTGGGAATAACATGACACATGTTGTTGGACAATGATATAAGTATTTTCCGTTTTAATTAAGACTATTACGCCAAATACATAAACATGATTATAATGAATGAAGTATAGGCGTTAACTATTTACCAGCTAGAGGAGAAGTTAGGGCACAGAATTAAAGTACTTTCCTGAGGCCCAGCAGTCTCCAATATCAAACTATATAAATGTCTGCAATTCGCCCTCTGCAGCAAATATTTATTTTTTGTTAAAATTTTGCTGGAACGAGGTGAAGAAACACCCCTTAAAGATGCATTATAGCAGCCTATCAATCAATCAATAACAAGACGTTCAAAAATGATGTAGTAAAAGATACACTTGGAATTACAACTGAAAAGTCTAATTTTAAAGACACTACTCAAAGCCAAACCATCATAAAACAAATCAAGCTCCATGTATGCTTTGCAGCCTTGGATAATCATAAACACATTAAAAACAACAGTATCACTCTTTAAAGGGGCCTTTTTTCAGTGTAATTTGACTTTCAATCTGAAAACAACAATTTTGGCTATTTTTACAGACAGAATGAAATATCTGAAGTGTCTCTAAATTAACAAGTACCACTTACTCCAGACAGCATTGCCTTTAGCAGCTCCTAAAAACTTCAGAAAAGGATCTTTAAACAGGAAGCTTAGTGAGCTCATAAAACTGTTGTTGGAGCCAGGAACACATAGCATATTTAATCTGCAAACTGTGAGAGTCTACAATGATTGCAGCAAGATCTGAGGCATGCCCTCAAGGTTTGCTGGGATCTGGGATTAGGGAGTTGATAAGAACCTCTACTGCCCATGGACATGTTTTTCTTCTGCAGTTAAACACAAATGCATAGAGACGTTTGACTGCTGCTTGGCGTTACTGCTCAAGTTATATAAAAGCTTTGCAGCTCCTTTTGCTGTCAATATATCAAAGTTAAAAAAAAAAATCATCAAAGTGTGAAATTTCATTTAAAGTCTGGGCCAGTCTACAACTCTATTTCACAGACCTATCAAATAAAAGTAAAGATGAAAAACACACTGAAAGTACTTGAAAAGTTTTCAGCAGCCATGCCCTATTTTTGTTTATTCTGTCTCATTTGATTTGATTTTAAATTATAACAAATCAATGCACATATAAAAATGACAAAATCTAAGGCAGTGGCGGGGTGGGAGGGGGAAGGGTGTCTATAAAACCTGTAGTTGAAAGGAAAGTTAAAGTCATTATTAGAGCTGAACCTTTTGTTGAATAAAAAGTTTCCTCTATAGCCATTTTAGCATTTTAATTACCTAGCTGCAAGTTGGCAGAAAATTTCTTGACTCTTCCAAAACAATCAGAATGACTGCAGAATATGAGTGCTAGCAAAACTAAAGCCTTCTTCAAAGTATTCTTTAGCTAGGGATTTACAACAATTGCATAAAGAAGAAAAGTCTGACTTTTAAGATAATCTACTATAGTCTAAAAGCATTAACATTCCATTACTAAGGTTTTCCTAAGGATTTCATGACTCATTGATTCACTTTTCCTTCAAGTCTTCTTTTTCTTAGTATATTACAGTCTCCATATAGTTAAGTGTATGCAACCTTGATCATTAAACTACTTCCTTTCATAATTCCCTCCTCCTCCCCCCAATGGATCTTGCTTTAATAAGCATCAGATACCTTATTTACTGGGCAAAGATGACTAACTTTTCAAGAACACTTTGCAACCAAACAGATTTCACTTCTTACTTGTATTCAAAGAGTCAGGATCAAACCAGCTGCTGGGTGCAGGGGGAAATAGTTTTACCAAAAATAAGAGCGAAAGTGTAATTCAAACTTTCCAAAGTTAGCATACAATGGATAACTGAAAAGTATTTTTATTAAGTAACTCACAAAAGGAAATAAATTCTACTAAAATTTTTTATGGAGGAGTCTTAATATTTTAGTTTAGGTACCAGCTAATCCAAAATAAAAATAATTAAGAAATTAAACATGGAATGTTTATAAACACAGCTACAAACTACTTCATTTTCATTTCAAAATATACCTTCAGATATGAACTTTACATGCACTGCTAAATGTTGTGTTGGCTAATGCATACATTTTAAGCACAAAACAGGAGTCAACTCATTAAGGAAAATGCAGGTAATTCTTTGTTTTGTACTACTTGGACAGGAAAATGCTTTGGAAAACAGAATGCCATACTGAAAGCCATGTGCAAGAAATGCACAGTTTTACTTCCTTTACTGCTGGGTTGTTGTTTTTTTTTAAAGAACTATATACACTAAAACAGTGCCTTTTCCCCGCACATTAGATGTGCCTTTTCAACCACACGATCTTTCGTGTAAAAGAAATGATGTTCTGCTTAAAAGTAACCTTGTCTCACAGATAATGTTATTTAATGTTTGCTTTAAATCTGAGTGTAGACTAACCAACTAAATGTATTACGTATTAGCTTGTTAAACCCCAAATTTCATTTCATAAACCAATTCTGAGGATACTTCATACAGTTTATATTGTTAAATTAATTCACCATTACTTTTAATATAATCCCTCAGCTGAAATCCTGTGGTATATTCAGAACTATTTTTACATTTTAATGTTACTCTTCTTTGAAAACATAGCATTTTTCTCCCTTCAAAATAATCTTGACATATGTAATTAAGAAACTGTCAGATTATTATTAATTTTTAATAAAGGACCTAAATGAAATAATTATAGGAATCAATCAGTGAGGTACCTTTCAAAATTACAATGCAATTGCACAAATATTCAAAATGATTAAGGCCCATTCTTGTGGATTTCAGTTCATAATCTCCCAAAATATGAAACTATAAAGAGTTGTATAACACAAAGAAATTTAGTGATTTCTAAGCATTAAAGAGACCTAAATGGTTCCCACATAGATACATATATCAGGCATGTAGAGAGACACAGTGAGAGACTCTGGCGCCCTTTTAAAAAGGTTTGTTAATTTAATTAGCCACATATTTCAAAGGCTTTGAACCATTTTTATATTGGAGTTCTTCTGTGATCCCACATAAAGGAAGTTAAATAAGCATGATGAAACTTCAAAATAAAAATATGCTTTATTAACCCTTGAAAATAAAGTGTGATGCGTGGGGTATGCATTGCTAGCTAGCACTCCTCTGGTGAATTAGACTTTAAACATTATATACCAAGTGGACAAACATCCATACCTTTGACTAAAAAGGCTCTTTTACTTTGAGATCCGTACAGTCCATCATGTCAAACAGAAGTGGCAGCTGGAAAATGTGGAACAGCTGGCAAAGAGCTGAGAGAAAATGTTTTACATAAATATATCTACATAAAAACTGGCAGAAGGCCACAAACACTGTACCCAAAGGACCAGCTCAAAACTATACACCAGAGGGTTAAAAAAATGGAGGGGCGGTGTGGAGGGGATTTCCTTTTACCTTTTCTTTTCACGTGGTGCCAGGACTTGAAAGCTTCACATTTAGTGTTGTGTGTGTGTGCGCGCGTTTATATCATCTGGGTTGGAAGAAGAGCAACTGTGCAAACAACCTAAGTTTACAGGCGAATTAACACAACCGCATATCCACTTTCCTATAATGCTTTAAAGTTATTTGATGTAAGAACATGCAGAGGTCCTAGTACAGGGATTGGTTTGCAGCAAATCATATATGCGTTCTCCTTCTTCTCCATTCCCACCCCCCCAAAAAAAGCCGAGAAAGTAACTGTCGGGAGTGATTCATATTCAATCCCTCCCCGCTGCAATATTTGTCTCCATACATTACGAGGAGTGGAAGAAAGGAGTAAGGGGGGAGTTGTAGAGGGTGTACAGATCCCAGCAGTTTAGTGTATGCAGCTTCCCAAGTTCCAAAGGCAGCAGTCACAACAAAATCATAAAGAGAAGGCACAACTTTCACTTTTCCTCTGTTATGAACGAGACGCCTTCCCCCATCCCACTCCCAAGCCGTTCCCCTGAAACTCCTACAGAATAATCAAAACTGAGTACTAGAAAACGAACTTCCCTCTCCTCTTCTCTCCCCAAAACTAACACACACATCCGAGACATTTCCACCTCTCCAGACAGGACAGAGTGTTTGCTACAGCAACAAAGTTTCAGCCAAAGAAACTGGCATGAAAATAACAAGCAGTTTCTTTGCGGGGAAAAGCAGCTGCTGCATGGAAATCTGCAGTTCAACTGTGGGACATTAAGCCTCAAAATCCTTTCGGAGTGCAGTAGGGCAGGCAGCGAGAGAGAATACTTACATATGACTGTATACTTTGGGGGGGGGGGGCTTTAAGTTAAGGACAGTTTGACAGCCATTTTTTTGGTTAGATCTCGGATAGCCTCTCGCTCCCCCCTCTTCCAAGTTAAAAGAGAGAGAGATCGGAAATGAAAATTAAGTGCCCAAAAACTCTGGCTTCTTGCAAAACATTTTGCAGAGCCCATTGAACAAAGAAGAACTTCTTGCAAAACTCAGTCCACGTACCTGCTGCTGCTGCTTCTGTCAAGCCCCCAAAACTTCCCATAGAAGAGCTCGGGCTGGTGTATCTCACACGCACAGCGCCCGCAGTGGGGATCTCGCTCTCTCCCCTTTTGCAAAGCTCAACAGGACCGGCCCCAAAGGATGAAAGCGGGCATTTTGCTTCTGTTTGGGCGCGGGGGGATGGAGCGAGAGAGAAGAGGCCGGGCGGTGTGTGTATTGGTGGTTGTTTTATTCCTGCCCTCCTCCCGCAAAGAAAGAGAGAGAGAGAGAGAGAGAGAGAGAGAGAGAAGCCCTCTCCGTTTGTGTGTGCGCGCGGATCCGACATCAGTTTCAGTGATCTTGTAATCTGATCCCTTCTGACTCACCCGCCCTGACTGACATTTCTGATTTGGTTCAACAAAGGGGGGGGGGGGAAATCGACTAGACTGCATCAAAAAACTTGCATCGGAAAGGGCCCCCCTCGACCTCCCCTCTAACCAACCCGTATAAATTGCATTGTAGCCCCCCCCTTTTTTTTTAAGTCCACCAAAGGAGGGAAATAAAGACACTCTGCTCCGATACTCACGTGTTGGAAAAGTTGTCCCTTTTGCCTTCCTCTCTCTCGCTCTCCTTTCCTCCTCCTCCTTCTTCTCCTAGTCCAAGTTTTACAGATGTTGCAGGACTCCTCTCCACCACCAACCCCTCCTCCCGCTTTCTCTCTTTCAAGACTCCACTCTTAGACCAGAGGAGGGGGAAAGAGCTTCAGGGCAAGGCACATTGCTGGTTCAACCCCCGCCCCGCAGTGTGGGTAGAGTGGGGCGCTCAACTTTCTGGAGTGAGGAAAAGATTCCCCCCTGCCCCCTCCCTTACTGTTGCCTGACTCCCTTCTTTGGATTTGCCCAGTCGAAGTGCTACAAACGTGAGGGTCACCCGCTCCCCTCCTCCTGTACACTGGGGAATGCCGGAATATTTCGGTGAGGAGGAGGGAAATCAGAAGCAGAGAAGGCGCGTGGGAGGGGGTGTGCCCCTGGTGCTGTTCAGTGCCTGGGAGTGAGGGAGAATGAGGAGTTGGGACCAGCAGAAACACAGGCTCTCAATCTGATGTCCCCTCTTCCCCACACTTCTCCTCCTCCTCTCTTCCCCCCAGCTTCAGCTCAGACACCAGGAGGCCACTCCCATAGCTGGGAGGGATGGGGGTTGGGGTGTGAATATGTTGCCTTCACCGAGCCACCTCCCCCTTCCTTCCCTCTGGCATCAGTTTTTCTCTCTTTTTCATCTTCCTCTCTTCCTTCTGTCCTGCTCTCTGCTTCCCTTCCCATCCTCAATCTCTGCCCAGCTCTCAATCCGGGACAGAAAGTCCCACTTGTTCTCCTTTCCTGCTCCTCCTTTTTTATCCTGCCCTCACACTCTGGTTCATTTTACCCTCTGTTTCTCTCCCACTACCTTCAAACCTTCTCAGTACCCCCAGCACTCAAAAATCATGAATCAAGCCACATAAAAGCATAAGAGGTTTAAAAAAAAAACAATATATTTGAGGTGTTTATTTATTTACCTTCTGGTTTTTGCCCCCTCAGGGTTCACGTTCTCAGGCTCAGTTCTGCACCCACATGGGCTGGAAACTTTTTCAATTAAAGCTCAGTGTCTTATGAAATCACATGACTCCAGGACCTGGGGCTGTAAGAAAAAACATCAAAGATCAGAAGAATTGGAAATATTATTATATTGCCTTCCTTCTCCAGTATTGAGCTTCTTCTCCCTTTAAAAACCTGCCTTTGGATTTTTTGTCCTTCTTTTCTTTAGCTTTTCTCCCCCAGCCTAGGACTATGATTTAGTTGGGGATTGGTCCTGCTTTGAGCAGGGGGTTGGACTAGATGACCTCTGAGGTCCCTTCCAACCCTGATATTCTATGATTCTATGATACAATGGAAAACCTTTAACATGAAGAATTACTTCTGCGTTCTGTCACCTGCATATTTGTATAAAACAAGATTCTGGTTGTTTTAATCTCTAGCCCCCATTGTTCCCACTGGGGTTCTACAGAGAGAGGCTTTGTTTTTAGGTTCCACAGGTACTTGGAACTCAGCTGAGGGTGTCAGTTATGATGGCAAAAGAATTCAAGATTGTCCCTTCTCATGTTTCAACCATTCAAGAATCAAAATACCATGCCAAGACCAGCTCTTGTGTTATTTTGGTTCCATACATGGGTCTCTCTGGCATTAAAATAGCCTGAGAAGAGCAAATATAAACGAACACAGTCACACCCACCCACCCATATCACATCATTCTCCAATCAGATCAAAGGTATGGCCCCCTTCAGAAAAGAGTGGGTATATGCATTAAAGTACATTCCAATATATACCTAATCGTGTCAATAATGACACATACCCAATGGTGTAGCCCAATACCGAACCTTTGATATGCACGTTTCGCCATGATCTAATTACCAGTGGTGCCAGGCTCTTGACTTAGAACCTGATTCAGCAAGATGCTTACGCAAATACCAAACTTTAAGGATGCACGTACTCCCACTGAAGTTAAAGTTAGGCATATGCTTAAGTACCTTCCTGAATTGGGAATTTAAATGAGAGCAAGATCAGGCTTTAATGCTATTGCAAGTCTTGTGAAATTTCGTATTTTTCTTAAAGCCCCAGGTGCCTGAATCAAGAGATTGCATGAGAATCTCAACTTTTTTAAATATTAAGTTCAATAACATCTTCATGATTACAGAGAAAAGCTTGAAAATGCAAAGTACATGTACCCTAAAGATTAAAAAAATAGAAGACAAAAATAATCCAACATTTTTTTTTAAATCCATGATTTGGGGGGTCTGATTCATTATTTTTGAACACTTGGGGATGGCACTATTGTCTGAATTTCCCTACAGTTTGTATTGTTTTCAAGAACATACTGACTTGGTGGAGATGGTGTATCTGTGGCTTGTTAACTATTAATTTTTCACAGCAATTAGAGATCCAGAATACCCTTGCTCACAGTGAGTAGCCTCTTATTTCACAAGCAGTTCCACTGACCAGCATAGGACTATCGGTGGAATAAGGATATAGGAGTCTGGTCTTATTCATGTTTCGATTAGTCATGAGTTGTTTGTTGGGATTTGGGAGAAAGTTAGTTGCCACGACAGTACAATGGTAATAATGTGAAATATGACAAGGGTAGGAAAAGTGGCTAGAAGCCTATTTTATTCACTCTTTTCTTCTATGTTTTGGATTTTTTTTTTTTTATAGTTTAAAAATGACCACAGTTAACTTAACCTCCAGTAAATTAAAAATAATTAAAAGTCCTTTCAGGTATTACACTGATCCTTCAGCTTCCTGTGCCATTTTTTCATGTTCTTATAATCACATTTTTCTTTAAAAATGTTTTTCTCTCCCCTTTTGCTTCATGAAATATCCTCAGAAGCCAAAGGGGAAACTGACTGATTATACACAAAGTACTATCAAATAGAGAGAGAAACTAATGAGAAAAATGCTGTTTATCTAATCTCTTCAGGTCTAGTAATCTGAGATGTTAGTGGTAACAATAGGCAGTAAAAATATTCAGACAGAAGTGTGATTTTAAACGGACGGTGTCCAGTGCTTAATTTGTACTGAAAGAGGTGCCAGGGTTCAAGCCATTTTTTTTACATTCATAACTGATGGAGCAAGTCCAGAGGTGCTGAGGCTCTGAACTGCCAAGCCTAGAGGTACTGGGGATCAGCCCTGGCACAAATTAAGCACTGAGAGTGTCCCTTTAAATCAAAGCTCCTCTTGTGAGCAATAGTTGACTTTGAACATTTTTTCATGCCACAAAATAATATTTCATCTTTTACTATTCTCACCCACAGTGGGTATTTTCAAAGCATATCTTTCAGCCTCCACTCCCCCCCCCCCAATCACCAGTGCTCCCTCATCCCCCCAAAATTAAGACAGCTAAGAAATTTAAAAACTTAAAAGGAATCAGAGTGTTTTCATTTCTGTTTATGGGAAAAGAGACTCCCGATACATCTTTGCGCCTTGAAAATCGTGAGGCAAGAGGTGAAACAAAGAAACAACAACCAGGCTTTCTGCCTTTGCCAGTCTGAATGGGTCAGACTGAGCAAAAAAAGAAAAAGAAATATATGAAGGAGAAGGGGTGACATTTGAAATGTATTGTAAATGTTTCAACACCTTGACAATGAAACACATAACAGAAGCTTAGAACTTCCAAGGCCCTTCAGCTAAACAAAATAAAAATGTGTTTAAGGAGGTTTCTTCCTGAAGATTAGTCATGTCTGTTTGAGAGAATTCATACTTTCATACAGTGGCAAAGTAAAAATATTATGTTAACAAGAAATCATTACTATGGGGTTGCATTGGCTCATTGATAAAACTCACACTGGGAAATTCACCTATATGATTCCTTTGGGAGCAGGTGTTGCCCCTTGCAGAATATGCCACTGGATCAACCCCAACCTCCACCTCTTTACCATCCACTATGTCAACCACTCCTTGGTAGTAGGACTCCATTAGAAATCAGGGTTGCCAAGTATCGTGTTTCGCATGACACTCAAACATTCATTCCTGCATCACAGCTGCCTTTCTTCTTGCTGCTCCCCCTGTTGGATCAAGGCAGGAAACAGCAGCCAAGAGAAGCAAGCAGTGCAGCAGTGACAGCTGAAGATGAGAGGCCCAATTGTAACTTCAGGCTCCCCTTTCCCCACACATCCAGCTACACCAACTCCCCTTCTCACCCACGCCCCACTCCAAATGCTGCAAATATCCAAACCAGGAATATCCTGGCCCGAGGGACCCTCTAACTTCAGAAGTCCCCAACCTGCTACCCAAGCACCTCTTAACCATCCAGGGGTTCCCTACACCCTCCTCCCCATCAGCCACCTAATCCCTAGCAATTCCACAGCACTGTAATCATTACATGCATGCTAGCAGTTGGCAAGGGAAGTTCAAAAATCAGAAGACTAAAAAAAATCGTTTTTTGGTCTCTGTCATGATTTTCTTACTCGTGATTTTTGAGCTTTTGGGGTAGACCATAACCTATTACTCACTGTTTTAGTGCGAGTTGCATGGTATTTTGCTTTTCTTAAAGACCCAGCTCCTGAAATTCTGATTAGGTGAGAATCTCAGCTTTCATTTAAATAAAAAGTAAATTTCTAACATTCATAGCTGTAGATCAAAGCTTGAAAATGTGACCTAGCGTGTTCTAAGAGCTCAAAAACCAGTAGACATATAAAAAGAATTCCAAAATGTTTCTTTTTTTAATCTTAAAATTTTTAAACTAGTCTCATGATGGGGGAAAGGGG